TAACTTCCTTATAAACTACTTCCTTCTCTATCAATCAAATCGTTGAAAACTGTGAATAGTGTTACCGTATAACACCACCAATTTCGTTTTTGATGCATCTTTCTTTTGCGCTTATTCCAATAAATTTTCCTGTAATAAAGAAATGAAAAATATATACAGTTCTTACAGAAAAATACATGAAATAATCCAATGAGCCAAATTAATATTAAAAAATCACGGAAAATATCTATTTCTCTGAAGCCTTTATTATATGTAAATAACAATTTATCCAAAGACTTGTTTTTTAAGGTTTTTTAACTGATATAATTATAACTAATTTCAAAATATTAAATAAAATATGATATAATAGAATAAATAAATAAAAATTTGCTTCAAAATTTTTAAATTTAAAATTATTATAAGAAAGGTAATATAATATCAACCTAAATATTATTACATAATTAATTGATAAAATGAACTACAGTCAAACCTGTTTATACCGGACGGTTTGGCTCGGCCCTTAGTGTCCGGTATAACGAGATTCCGATATATATGCATATACCGAAAAAAATAAGAACATCATGTGATTTTCGATATATAGAAATGGACCAATGGTATGTTGCTGTTTATTTATATATCAGAAAGTGTTAACGCTCATGTATACAATGTTAGCCCATATTAACATAACTATCTAAAGTCTTTTGTTTAAGACTCTCCGTGTACTTTAATTCCATTAATCTCTGTACTCTATAAAGTGCGACAATGTCTTCTGGTAGAATCTCTAGCTCGGTTGAATATTGTAAAAATTGCGTTAGCGTTTTCAAACCAGTAACTGCCTGGTGGAGAGAGATGGTTGGTCTTATTTCCACTTCTTCATTTGTATTACCCTCAACCTGTGCACCATCTTCCTCAAGAACTACCTCAATTATCTCCTCATCCGTAATCAACTCCTCCGCAGGAATATTGTTATCACAAGATAAATATTCTATTAAATAAAATAACGCAAATTTTCAATTAATAATAAGCAGTTCGCTATGCATTGCTATTATTTCATAATCACCTTCAACTGACATCCGGTTATCATATGGCAACTCATTAAACAGCCTCTCCATAGATACAAAGTCATCAATTCGCTCTTCCTCAGAAGCTCGCTCTGTTTCTTCAATTTCATTCGGAAGAGGTAGAATTCTAGTTTTTTGCCAACAATTTACAATAACCTGTTCGCTAACTCTGTCCCAAGCATTAGATACCATATATCTTGCATCTTTAATAGTAAACGGAGTGGATTCGGCATTATTATCCATTGACGCGTCGTATGCATCTACCCTATTCTGAATGAACATACGTCTATAGTGAGATTTGAAAGCAGAGATTATGCCTGCATCGCAAGGCTGTAACACAGATGTTGTTCGAGGAGGTAAGAAATGTAAGACTATGTTCGTAACTGTCAATTTTTTTGTGTGAGGTTGCGTTGTCCATGAGTAAGATTATTTGTCGATGTTGTCAGCGTAGTCGAGCATCGAATTTAATAAGCCAATCAACATAAATTGACTCCTATGAATTGGGAATTAAATTCTTAGTATGGATATTGTCATCCATAAATAGTGTAAATAACCAACCTGCATCCATGCCGTCTTATTCCAGTAATAATTGACTGGAAGATTGTTTATGTTTATTCCTCTCAAAGATCGCGGTGTCTTGGCGTTATTGATTATTAGCGGTGGTAATTTCTCAGTACCAGTAGCATTCATGGTTAAAAGGACCGTGATACGAACTTTTGATTTTTTCCTTCCACTAACTTGAGACCTAGCTAAGACTCGATTTGGCTCTCGTGCCCAATAAAGCGCCGTTTCGTCACAATTGAAAATATTATACGGTTCCCAATTCTTCAAAACTTCTTCGAGTTTTAAACATTCGGTGTCAATCTCTTGCTGTGATGGCGCACTTAACGCTTCACCATGCTTACAGTACGACTTTATTCCGTGTCTTAGTTTAAAACCAGTGAGCCATCCTTCAGACGCCTTAAAGTCTGTAATTCCAAACATCGTTGCAAATTTATTTGCTTTGTTAAGTATGACAGCGCCATCAATGTCCTGATTACCAAGGAAAATGCGTTCAAGCCAAATGGTCATTGCTTCTTCTAGCCTTGGCCATTTGGGAGGGCGATTTTTTTTAACGTTTGCATCTGGACTGTCATCTTGAATTGCCAACCAATGGTCTTTTCCTTTAAGTATGTCACTAACAGTACTAACTCCACATTTAAATTGTGTTGCAAGGTCTGTTAGCGTGAGATGCGGATATTCACATTTAGCAACACATATCTCTCGTTTCTGTAAAGATGTTAAAGAGATTCGGCTCCGTTTTGATTTATCAGATAAAGATTGATCTTTTCGTCTTTTTATTAACATTTTATAAAATAAAGCAAGAGATGTATCAAGGAAAGTGAAGAAAGTAAATGAATTCATATCATAAATACGCCATTTCACGTGTTTTTTCTGGTATAAAGAAAATTTTCCATTAGCAATTTGCGCTAGCTGATCCTCAAAGTTCTTTCGGATCCGGTATAGGGAGAGTTTATAAGAAATTTCCGGTATAAACAAAGAATTTTCATATGAAACGAACGGTGCACAAGAATCAGTCCAATATAAAGAGATTCCGGTATATACATATCCGGTATAAACAGGTTTGACTGTATTATAATAAATTCTATGAAATCAATTAAATAGAATATTTAAAGTTTCTTACATTATATCGAATCATTTATATATTTCAAACTAATTTCCTCAAATAGAGAATCAACGGCACAAAAAAAATTTGCTTGAAAAATAATGACAATAAAAATCAAAGATTCATCATCCTCCTCCACATCCTCCACCACATCCACCACCACAGCCGCCCCCACATCCACCACCTCCACAACCTCCGCCACAACTATAAGTGATAGCAGCGGCTGCTAGCATTCCACCTCCTGTTAG